CCAAAAAAAAACTTGACATTTTTTAATGAGTATACACCTTAACTATATGTGATTTTAATTACCCCATATGCCCCCTAACCTGCAACATGACAGTGAAAGTTGGTTCAAATGGCTGAGTGCGCGTGGGGGAATACATTTTTTGCCACATCAGTTAAATATTTCCCTTTCCCAATCCTAGAACCATCTCTAACGGTAATAATTTCCCCCAACGGTAACAACCCCCTTCTCNTGCAAATCCTGGACGACGATTCTTTGGATGTAGTCTTTATCCGAAGACAAATTCTTATCGATTTTTCAGTGGTATGAACCTCCATTTCCGGAGCAAGCAAACATTGTTATTTTTGGGTTGTTGAAGAAGACTAACAAACTATCGAAGAGGGAAAGAATGCTAAAGTTTCTATTATTTTTCAGTTTATTTTTTAATCTAATTTAACTCATGTACAAATAAAGGTTATCTGGTTAGGGCTACTTATCGGGTGGATTGGGCGGTTTTTTACTCTTAACGATTTGGCTTAACGGTTATCGACTTTTAAATGTATTAATCCGTTAGCCACCCGATAAGATATTGGGCGGATTGGTATCGGTTTAGCTCTTATCGGGCAGTTATCGGGCGGTTTATCGGCCTAACATACATATTTACTAAATTGTGTTTTTCCTGTTTCAGCACTTTACGAAGAAATATAGTAATCCAGTTCCAGTTTCACAAATGATAATTGAGGCCAACAAGGAAAGTGCTAGAGGACATTGTCTTCAGAGTCATAGTCCCCAGCTGAATTTAAAGAATAGAACACCACAAATCATCACAAATGAGAAGCATGGTACCAAAAGCACAATAAAAAACGTGGCAACATTTTTCTCTAGTTGTATGTTGAACAAAAATATTAACCGTGCTAAACAGTAAACTCCATTGATGTCTTTCAGTGAAGGAAAGGACACATCCAACTGAAGTGGTGCCACATATATACACTACTTATTTAATTTAGTGAATATGTATGTTAGTATGAAACTTGATTACTTTAAATTCCTTTCACTCTATTCTTCTGCAACTTCTACTCAAGAATATAAAATTCAACAGACATCATCAAACAGCAAAAAGAACACTAAGTTACTCTTTTGTACAGAAAAATGCTTCTACATACAGAGCAAATAAATACCATCGCAGTAGATAAAGTCAGCAGAGCTGCATGCTAAATATCTTCAGGACTGTACTAATAATAATAAGTCGGCAGAGCTGCAAACAACTTTACAAGTTACACAACAGTTAAACACCATCGCAACAGATAAAGTCCGCAGAGCTTGCATGCTAAAGATCTTCAGGACTGTACTAATAATAATAATAATTCAGCAGAGCTGCAAACAGCTTTACAAGTTACACAGCAGATAAAGTCAGATCAAGATAGTGGATGATGCCTTGGCACACAGTTACACAACAGATAAAGTTGGTTCCTGAGCAATTTCTTCACGCTCGAGTTCAAACAGAGGCCACACTCGACCTGCATTTGAATGACGAACATATTATTAAAGAGCGCGTGCAAAGAAGACATTGCTGATCATCAGAAAGTCATCTAAACTCTAAAGCAGACAAACATTCATGTAATTTCATCAAAAAGTAGGTGTCAACATCTATGTTGAACTTTGCTAATTTTGCCTCTGGTTCTTGTTTGGAGAATCAGAGGTTGATATCTTCTGGTGCAAATATGAACAACTTTGTTGTCCTGGAAAAGACACAAAGGTTGCAGTAAAACAAGTTGAAAAATGGATGCCTATGCTTCCAATTTTTGTACAAAGCGGATTGCTGAGTGCTTGTAAATGGGATATATGATTTTGAATTTGAAAGTATGAGTTTTAGAAAAAGAATTGCTGATGAATAATCTTACCAAATATATTAACACTACACGTCAATTACGGAAGAGTCCTTTCCATTGCTGGCTAAATCTGAAGAAAAAAAATTAAAATAATGAGTCGTGCGATAAATATAAGCATATCAACAACACTTATATACAATAAATATAGTAACAATATTATTACCTTGTTCAAGCTGCTCGATTTTATCAAGATCTTCCTCAATACTAATGGGTTGTTTTAATTTTTCGTTTCGAAGCCAATCTTGAAGACACACTAGAGCTTGCACCAATTTAGGAGTTAATGAACTCCTAAATGAATCAAGAAGACGTCCTCCCGTACTAAACGCACATTCGGATGCCACACTTGAAACCGGAACAGCTAATACATCACGAGCCATCTCCTCAAGAATAGGAAATCTAGCTGAGTTCAATTTCCACCAAAGAAGAACATTAAATTCTTTAGTGTCATTCTCAGTTTCTTCACCTAAATATTTATCTAACTATGTTCTAGTATCCACTCCCATTTTTATATTTTTTTATATCTTGCATGAGTGATTCTAAAAGTCCTATATTTTTTGTGCTTGCTTGACTGCCAGAAAGCCCGGAAGTCGAAGTGTCCAATGAAGAACAATCTGAAGATGAAGTAAGCACAACACCTTTTGAGCTGGACTTTACATACTCACTGAATAATGAAGTCACGTACTTCATCACTTCTGCTTGTATAGTTGCCCCCGGATCTATACCAAACAACTTTACAAGTGCAAAGCCAACTGATTCGATCTTGTAACGTGGATCCAAAATTTATGAGATAAAAATTATCTTGTTCATTTTCCCTGGATTACCCCAATACTTATCAAACTTTTCTTTCATATTCTTTGCCATTTCACTTAAAACTATATCTTCATTTGCTATGAATTGCTTCAAATAGACAGCAACTGCGCAAATTTTAAGAAAATAAATATTCGATGTAACATAACGTGGTCCAGATATCTTCAAAGTAAGAAGATAGAAGATTTCAAGAAACTTTGTAATTCTTTTTACATTCTCCCAATCACTACTCAAAATTTCACCTATAGGAATTCCAACATCAATATAAGAATGCTCAAGATAATATCTCAAGCCAATTTCACTAGAAGCATAATGTGAAAATGCACTTTCAAATTCAACAACCCTGCATCAAGTAGGTGGAATTCCATCTAGTTGGAACATCTAAGCATAAAGTTTTCTTAGAATTGAG